GGAATCAACACTAAGAGCTTGTACAAACTGCTTGTAAGCATCGCCATTTTTAATCTTTTTTTTTAATAAAACAATTTGAGGTTATATAAAAACTTTAGTAAAAAATTAGCTTTGAGAGCTCACAGATTCTTACTATGAACTTGCTGGCACTCCTCCCCAACCACCAGACCTTTTCCAGCTATTTGGGCCCAAGAGGCCTGGGACTGGAGTGCCAGAGTAAAGGGGTGGGGCTGAGTTGTGGACTGTTGGGACAAAATGGCCAAAGTCAAGTGAGGAAAGAGCATCACATGACATAGAAATATTGCATCTTCACCAAAATGTCCCCCACTGAGTGTTTCAAAAAACATGATGTTCCTTTTTGGGGGGGAAAGGGGAAACACAAGAGAAGGAAAAAAGAAAATAGGTTGATATGGTCGAGTCCCTCGACCTCCCCGGGTGCCCCCACGAGCAGCTGGCCCACCCTGGAGCACCTATTTTGGGGCCAGGGCCACCACTGCCTCTTGGAGTCCTTTTTCCCTGGAAATGAAGACCCCTTGGTGGTGGGCCAATAGCGTGCATGAGGTTGGGGGTGTCTTCGGCCTAAGAGGCCCCCTTCAGCTTCCAGCCCCTGGCAACAGCAGGAGAGCAAGCCCAGCACCAGGGCCCTGGCCCCTTCACCAGGGCCGCGAGGCCCCCAATCAGGCTCTGAGATATCAGAGCAACCAGTTACAGAGTGTGAAAAAATAGGATTCCTTTGATAAAAAATACTGTCCCTTGGTCTTCTCTAAGTTTGAAACACCCTGGGAGCTTATTTTTAAGCAAAGCAATTCCCCATACCCACCCAAAAATTATACATACAAGTTTAGGTAAACAGCAAATTAAATGTAAAAACTTAAACTTAACTTCTGAAAGTCCTTTGAATTTAATCTTTAGCTACTGTTTTCCATGTTACATCCTGCAGCTAGACACACGTGAATAGAAAAAACAGTACAGTTAGTGTTAAAGGCAAAACGCAGAGAGCCAGGAGGAGGCCACCCAGCACTGCCTGCAAGTTCATTCACGGTTCCTCGCTCCCTCCATCTAACTCTACTCCAAACAGTGCTTTCAGAGCCAGCCATCAAAAAACGCAGCGAAGAATTTTCTATGAACAAACAAAAAGCTGTTAGGCAAAAAAAATAAAAATAAAAAATCCCCCAAAGTCTCTCCAGCTGCTTTGGGGTTTAGGAGGACCAGAGAGGGCAGGCTTGTCCAGGCCCCATGTGTGTCAGTGTGTGTGCTAGGTCGGGTGTCGGCTTCCGGTGAGCGATGGTCTGCAGGCCACCGGTTTTCACAGACAACACTGTGTTGTCTCCAGGCCCCTGCCCTACCTCTGCCTCCACCCAGGCGCTTGTGGGTTAAGGGGGGACATAGGGAGGGGGCGACCGGTATGGGGTCATGTTTTTGGGACGGGAGCCCTTGCCCTCCATGGGGGCTGTAAAGGGTGGAGGGGGCTGGTAGGGAGGTGCATTGGGATCCTCATCCCGCAGGGGTGTATACTCTCCTACAGTGTCTTGGTTCAGAGGAGTGGTCTCGGGCACGCTCTGGTTGGGGTACTCGGGAGGAGGCAGGGGGGCCTTTTCCTCCTGGAGGATGAGTGGCATGCTGGAGGAGGGTGGGGGCTTGGAGTCATCCAGCTCATCCGCAAAGATGATGGGCACCCCTTTCTTGATGAAGGTGGCCTGGTCCTCCAGGATTAGCTTGCCCTTCCGCTTCTTGCGGTAACAGATCATTGCAATAATGCCGGCAATGAGCAGGATGGCTGCAACCACCACAGCTGGAATGACCGTGTGCAAGTAGACGTCATCCTCGCTGCTCTTCTCAGGGTCCCTGTCTGGCACCTCTGTGGGTGGTGCCTCTGTAAGCACCTCTGTGGGTAGTGTCACGGGGATAAACTGCAGGCGCCGGCAGCTGCCTGAGCCCATCACAGCAACACTCATGGCCTTGAAGTCTGGCTCCAGGGCATTGGAGAAGGCTGGCCTTGGTTTCCCATCATCCTCGGCAATCCTTCTGCTCAGTCCTATGATCTGCTCCTGGGGGCAGGGCTCTAGGGGAAGTGTGTTGTTGGTCCATTCTACCAAAATGGAACCCCGGGTGATATTCTGTAGAGTGATGGTGCTGCAGTTGCGATCCCCAAAGGCAAAAGCCAACTTCTTCACCAAGGTAATCTTCTTATGGATGTCATTCACCACTGGGGCTGGGTCACCCACAAACTTGGCACTAAACCGTGCAGGAGCCCTATCTCCTTGAGGACGTTTGTGGACATGGATCTCGAAGGCATCCACAGCTGAGAGGCCCCCCTTGTCTGTGGCGTGCATGAAATACTCATGTTTGCCCACGTGGTTGTTGTCAGGCAGGCCATACATGAGCTGACTGTTGCTGTTGAACTGTACCCAGGACTTCTCACCCACCAGTTGCTGTTCCCGCAGCTTGAGAGTTAGCTTCAGTTTGTCAGTGGTGGTATCCTCATTGTCATAGAATGTATCTGGTGGGATTTTCACCTCAAAGTAGGTACCAACCCAGGCATCTACCCTGTCAATGTGGTTCTTGAGCTCTGGGGCCTGGTTAGGCTCTCCCCCCCGGGGCACACCACTGGTGGTAGTACGAATGCGAGTGGGCGGGGAGGCTGTTTCCAATCTGGTGATGGGAGCTTTGGTGGTGACCCGGGATGCTGGTCGGGATGTCCGTGGCTTCTTGGTTGGCCTGCGAGTTGTAGTAGTTGAGGAATCAGTTGAAGGTGTGGCTGGTTTTGGCGTGGATACTCGTGGCTTCTTAGTGGTGCTTGTGGGAGGGGTAGCCATTGCTGTGGGCTCCACATGGCCAGGAATGGTCATCGTTGGGCGGATCTGGCCAGGAACCGTGGTGCCGGCTTCTGGTACCCGAGTGGGCTGGATCGGGCCTAGGGTTGGGGTCTGAATGATGGCACCTCGAGTCCTAATGGTGACTGTGGGCTTCCCAGGAACAGGATCCCTGACTGGAGGAGCCATGGTCTCTGTTGGTGGAGCAATAGCTGGAGATGTAGGGGTAGGAACGATCCTGGAGGGTGGCTCCTGGATAGCTGTGGTTGGGGGTCCAATGGCAGTAACAGGTGTGGGTGTGGCATGGATCTGCCGCCGGATACGTTTTGGAAGAGGGGGCTTCTTGTTGGCAATGTGCCAACCCACCACAGGGTAGCCAAGCTGGGCAGACATGGCGCCCTCCCTGGCAGGGGCCTCCACACCATGAATGTCAGGTACACTGTTCTGGTTCAGGGAGCAGCCCAGCCTCCAGGAAAGCAGAGCCCCATTCTCCACCACCTTTTTTGCATTTCCTGGGCCAGCCATGAAGGCTGACATGTCAAACAGTCTGTTATTCACCACTGGCACCAACTTCATGTTGTGAAGCTCCACTTCTGAGAAACTCCGCATCCTGTGCAGGAGGTCAATCCTTTGCTTTGGGGTCATCTTGGTGAGGTCAGCATCCAGAATAACCGTCAAAACTGTCACAGGTTCATCAGCAGCACAGGTAGATGACACTTCACCAGGTTCTGGTGATGCTGCCCGCACAGACTGCGGCTCACTGTGGTCCTCAGGGTAGACCTCGATGGAGAACACGCTGGAGGTCTGGGGGACGTGGCTCCCATTGGCCCCCAGACGTGCAGCACTCACCGAGATGTAGTGTACTCCCTTGTCAGTGTCGAGGGGGAGGCCCTCCAGGGTGTAGCTATTAGGGTCCCAGTGCAGCCAAGATGGCAAGGTCTCCTTCCCTGCTGCTGAGACCTAGAAGAGACACAGGCAATAGTTATCAGTGCTACTGTCCACTCAACCTGCAAATGATAACTATAGCTAATCACTGCCTGAAGTGTGGGATAGGCCTAAGTCACAACTCAGAACTCTTACTGAGGGATCATACATCCCCAGACAGGCATACCAACCTCATTCACCTGCTGTGAAAGACTGGGGCTGCTAGATGGGGCTAGCTTGAAAGGCAAATGATTCACCCAAGGCCACACAGCAGAGAAATATCTGCACTGGTACTCAAACACATATTTCAGCCCAAAGTGACACTGTTACTCCCCCACTCTGCCTGCAGAATCTAGCCTGAATGTCTCATCCCAGCCCTCAGCACTCCTTTCCAGTCTTACCAGAAGCAGAGGCAGACTTGGGTACACAAATCTGGGTAAATCAGAAGGCCTAATTTCCCTAAATGACTCAGTTTATGATCATCACATGACATTCAAGTGTCATGGGGGCATATTTGTGTAGCACAGCAAATATAGTTAGCTGTGAATAACATCTCAATTAACCTTCCTTCTCAAACTTAATGGAAAAACTGTGATGACAAGGGTGAGAGGATTGGAAATGATTCTAGTATAATGTTGATATCAGAGGCATCTCAAGGAACTCTGATCTCTCTAAAAGAGAAGTCTGAAGTCCAGCAAGCTTGGAAAATGCACTACCCTTGCAGAGTCCAGGCACAGATGCAGGTCATGGCTCTAAGGACACTCAATAGCTTTTTCTAGACTTATTTTAGTGCAGAAATCTTTTCCATAGGGATATAATTAGTAATAGAACATCAAAAGAAATGCCACTACAGAACTTCCAACATCAACTGACTAGAGGGAAACAAAACTTGCCATTTACCTTTGTTCCTCTTATCTTTGGTGTACACTTACTTCTGCTCCCAGTGCAAGAAAAAAAAAAAAAAAAAAAAAGATGGCATCTGTTCTCTGGTCAGCCTACAGATATTCTCCGCTCCTTTGCTCTGTCCCAGAAAGCCCAAAGACAGGTGGTTAACAGATGACATATCTCACTTGCCAGTCTCAGCCCAGGGATTGCCCTTCATGGCCAATGCTTGCACCTACAGGGACAAAGATGGGCTTCCCTCCCTACAGCAAGAAGACCAGAGCTATGCCTACTGGGCTCCTCAGTAACTCCAGTTCTCCAGGTTTCTTCCTGCCAAGAGTCAAGGGTCTAAGGGATCAGGGAGGAGACCTTGGGTCATATTTGCTCTATCCAGCCAGGACCCAAATGTCTAGGCAGCATGCTATTCCATCAACCTTATCGGAGACCAGAGACTTTCCCCCTTTTAATAGATTTTTCTACCTCCAGCAAAAATCCAAGTAAAGACAACTGACATCATTAGGGCTTATTATTACTAGACTTGCTCTTTCCTGATTAGTCTCTAAGCCACTAATTGGGGTTGTATGAACACATTTCTTGGCAATATCACATTCCTTCAGATCTAAGGTGCATTATCACCTAATTGTACCACGAAGAATTACTCCCACCCTGTCATCAAATCCATGAGAAAAAGTAATTCTTTTTAACCTCAAAAATAACACTTCTTTCAAATGTTTTGGCTGAAAGATGTGTCCACTTTTTTTCAGTTCACTTACATTAAATATGAAAATTGTCACAACCACATGTACACGCATAAAGCAAACGTTGGATGCTCTTGTTTTACAAAAAACGTGAAGCACAGATGAAAGGCCCAAATGGAATGTTCCAGGAATCATGAGATGTTTACAAGGGTGGTACAGAGGTGGAGGTTCTGAGGTGGGGAGGGTGAGACATTTTCTGATCCTTAGTCCAAATGAGAAGAGTGCTCACCTGGCAGACGGAGGGTCTGGGATGGAACTTTGGGTGAAGCCAGCTTAGAAGAAACCACCTGTGGAGGAGACTGGATAGAATCCTGGAAAGACCTGAAGAGGCTCCAGAGAGGGTAATGACTGGCTGGTGGGGCCCATGGGACATTCATGGGTAGTCAGCCAACCAGGCTTGCATCCATTAGAACAGATATAATAGCTAGTCCACTGTTGCTCATATCTGTCTCTACTTGCATGTGGAATCTTTATAACACAGCAAACAGAAAAAAGCCCCACCTCCTCAAAGCTTCCCAGCCTGACTTACTTCCTATTCTGCTGACCCTACCAGTCAGGTCAGACATTGTCTTTGAAACAGATGCAGGGCACTCTTTGGCTAAGGTTCCCACACAGCCACACTTGTGAGACATACACTTAATTTAAAGCTATGTCAAGTAGCAAATATTAAAGAAAACCCCAGGTTTTACAAAACCAAGTTACAATACTCAATTTTAAATTGAGAGAAAGGAAAGAATTAAAGTTTATTTTGGTTACTGAGAATAAAATCTTTCATTATCACCCATCCACAGTTTTACAGACTTCTGGGGCTCTGGTAGTATTGAACGATAAGCACTGAACTTGCTAACCACAAGGTCAGCAGTTCAAACCCACCAGCTGCTTCATGGAAAAAAGATGAGGCTGTCTTGGCAACCCTATACACAGGACTGCTATGAGTTGAAAATGACTGGATGCAGTGGGTTTGGCTTTGGGGGCACGCCATGATAGAAAACCTGCACATTGCCCTTTCTTCTGCAGATTCTTGTTCCTCAGGGGCCTGTAGTGTAAGTTATATTCTGATTATAGGAAAGGTGCCCAACTTGGATCTACAGTCCTGAAATGGCAGATCCCAGATTCTTGAGTACTCCTCCTTCAGACCAGAAAGGCAAGTACTAACCAGAAAGTTATAAAATCCTAGCATCTCTTGGTCATCTAGGTATTGGATACATCAGGCCCAGAGAGCACTTTGAGTGCCAATGATTCATTTTTAATAGAAGGGTCACAGGAAACAAAATAAACCTAATTTCCACAAGGAACCTAGTCAAGTCAGACAAGACAAACTGGCACCTCTGCATTTCCAAGGCTATTTGATTTAAGTCCCTGATCTGAGAAGTCTAAACATGCCTAAAGGGCTGGCAGTGTCTACATTCCCCCAAAGATTCCACTAATCGCCAAGTAGCGCTTCCCTCTCAAGGACACTAAGATCAGGGTCCAGCTTATCATGGAGGTTAAGTACCACCTGTTCCACCCTAACAAAACATGGGGACCCTGAATACTTTCCCCAGCTTTGAAAAGTTACAAGTTCTGGACTACTTTTCCTCTCATGCCTCAGGATAAAGTGGGATATGAAAGTTCCTTCTGAGAGAAATGTCCTCAGGACAAGTCAGGACTCATTCCTCTTAACAAGAGACCACCTGATATGAAGCCTCTATCTCCAGGTATGCTTCGCTGAAATCCCAGCTCCAGGAGCGCTACAGCTTGACTCAATTTTAGCCGCAGTGTTCACAACTGTAATATGGGAGAAATTATCTTATCCTTGCAATTCTAGCATTAAGCACACACTTCCTGCCTATTCCTTATGGGCCATGAGAGGACCCAGTGCACAATGGCTGCAGTACAAACAATCCAAGGGCACATCCAGCCTCCAGTCCTCTTTCCTAACTGGTTTTGGACCTAGTGCACAGTGGGGCCTTGTCTTCCTGGTTTACACCCCAAAGCAGAAGCTGGAAGCATCAAAGGGATGTGGGGAGGTCACAGGCAAGGGGAGGCCAGGATCCTATAGAACAAGGCAAATGCCACTGAGACCAGGCCCACACCAAGGCTGGGGATCCTTCAGGGACTTACTTGATTTTCAAGACCTATCTGCCAGGAATGGATGAAAATCTGGGTAAAATGAGGGAATGAGGGGAAGAGTTGCTGCAGGTCCAAAGACCAGCATCCATCTCTTTGGTCTAGTAAGTCCTGGCTAATTTGTACACGGATATTGACTACCCTCAGAGTCCTTGGTTTATTCAATGTAAAAATGTCTGTACTAGCTGTACCGTATTTTTGTTGTTAAGTGCCACTGAATCGATTCTGACTCACAGTGCCCCTGTATAGGGTTTCTGAGGAGTGGCTGGTGGGTTTGAAAAGCTAACCTTGCAGTTTGTGGTTCAGTGCTTATCCTACACTCCAGAACTCCTGTACCATAACCATCACAATTAACCCCCTAAGGACAGCCAGGTCAGAAAGGGCAGGAATGGGGTATGGTGCAAGGTTCTTGTCATCACCACCACATGAATTTGGAAAGACAGGTGGGTCCCACCTACAGAATCTCTTCAGGGTTTCAAGTCATCTGGTCTTCCATCACAGAATGCAGAAACTGCAGGATGCAGCCTGTTTAACAGTATCACAAGCTCTAGTGCACAAATCATCCAGAGAAAGACAGAAACCTTCCCAATTTCAGTAATACTCAAACAGGACATGCTTCTGAGATAGAAGGCAATCCCAGCACTGAGGAAAACAAAATCTTGCAGAGCCACACATCCAGCTCCAGAAATTCTGATCCACAGTACATCTCAAAACATTATGAATCAAAACCACAAAACCTGGGTAATTCCATAATGAGTTCTAATGACTGGTGATACCCACAAGGGACACTCCCTCCAGTTGCTTTGCTGGTATCCTCTCTCACACAGCAGACTATCAATACCCGGTTGGATAGATACCTACAGGCACTAAATACCATGAAACACAAGCAAAGTCACACCAAAAAAGTAACATTCCACACCTAGAGATAGCAAATGGATAGAGGAGTTTCCATTACTTAGTCCTGCACCAAAGAACAGGTTTCCACCTATTGTCTGAACCAGCCAGTTTGGCATAGCTGAAAGATAAAATTGAAGAACTGGATGCTCATTAGGGCCTAATTAGGGTAGTGGTTACGAGTTAGGCTGCTAACCTCAAGGTTAGTAGTTCGAAACTGCCAGCGGTTCCATGTAAGAAAAGATGAGGCTTTCTGCTTTTGTAAAGATTTACAGCCTCGGAAACCCTAAGCAAGGTTGCTATGAGTTAGAACCGACTCCATGGCACATAACCACCAGCACCACCAAGTCATAGGTTTTATCATTCAGAGCCCACATGGTGATGTCTTATCCA